GCGAGAGGGCGTGGAAGCGCTGGGACATGCCCGACTGCTCGGCCAGCTGGAGCAGCGAGGAGGTCGGGTCGACCCCCGGAGAGAGCACAAAGATCAGCGGGGTCTTGGTTGTCGAGTCGTCCACCACCTGGACCCGGAGAGAGAAGCGTGGGAAGGAAGGAAGGAAGGAAGGAAGGCGGCAAGATGAAGACACTCTCCCCCTGCCCCCCTCCTCCTCTTCCACCGAGGGCAACGGCTGAGCCCCTGACTCTCTCGGCTCGGGCAGGAGATGCAGAGGCTCACCGACCGCCCCCCTCCTGCCTCCATCCCACAGCAGAGGCCGCGGGACCCGGCGGGAAAAAGACACAGGTGGAAACGGGGCCGCCCGCAAGCCCCGCTCACCGACTTCATGTTGAGCACCGGCGGCTCAATGAACTGGGATCCCAGGTTGGAGACGATGAAGGCGGTCACGCAGAAGGCCACGCGGTCAGGCCTCAGCGACCGGACGACCAGCATCCGCTGCATCTGGTTGCAGGAGTTCTCCCACTCGCCTGCAGGGGGTGACAGTGTGCTATGATGGGAGAGCCGCCTTGCCTGGCTGTTGTGTAGGGAAGGGGCCAGCGGTTGCCCCCATGGAGCCACCGGTGGCCACCCCAAGGATCCTTAAGCACCAGCCCGACTTCGCTCCCCGAACAGCCGCGGGGCATGAAAGCCACAGGGCCACGTCTAGAACATCTCCCTTTCTGCCGATCCGTGGAACCCTAGACGAGGGAGGACAAACCTCCCGTAGGCGTGAGCAGGACAGATGCCCGGCCGTCGGGGCCCACCTGCTCCCGCATCATCCAGCCGGCATGGCCGAGAAAGTTACTGTCTAAGAAGCTGTTCTTTCCGGTCACTCCTTGAAGCGTTTCACAAGCAAGGCATGACATAACTATTTGCACTGCCTGTTCCTTCTTCTTCTTTTGCTTTTTTTTTGGGGGGGGTGTCACTTTCCAACTCCTTTTTTTTTAAGGGGGGGATTTAGGGTCACCAAGAGAAGAGCACGAAACCCATAAAAGTCCTGCTGAAACAGCTCTGATAAAAATGATACCTCTTAGGGAGTAATTGCAGACGGTCACTAGAAAGCATTGCCCCACGGACCCCCCCCCCCC